CAGGACCATTACAAGCGTTCATCTCCCACATTGGAGGCCAGGAAATCCGTACTACTCCTCGCAGCTAGGTTGAAGGTTGCATTCGAGGATCTTGGTGTTGACATTGTTGACATCAATCAAGGATTCCAAACATGGCTCACATTTACTGCGTCTTCGTTGATTTCAAGTGCATCGTTGGCGTATGGGGAGCACTTGATGAAATCTCTATCTCACATGGGAGGAGTCAGAATTTCGAAGAGGCAAGCTCTGGAAATTTTCCGGAACGGACGCGGCAAGCAATTCAGCATATATCGCGAAAGAGTTTTCGATGATGTTGCAAAGAAGTGGCTTTTGATCTATAGAGTCACAAAGGATTGCGGAAATGTCGCATACAAAGACTTCTTCGAGAAGGTTGCCGTTCCCGAGGTGAAGGAGAGGAACGAGATTTTTGGATTCTCCCGTGCATCTGCCGAGAAAACTGGAGATATCATCGAGTTCTGGCTTGGTGTCTTGGACGTGGCCAATATGGCCAAGGGAGTCGTGGATGTTTTTAATGCTAGTGTTGATCCAGCTGAGTATCTCAATGGACTGGAAAAGGCACTGGCTCAATTCACATCGACCTCCCGAACCTCGAGCACCATCAATGACAAGAGACGGGGATCCTTCGACTGCACACTGCAAACTGCAGAAGCCGAAAGGGTCATGAAGCTCATCCACGCAATCCCCGGATATGATTCGCTGGCCAATTTCTGCTGCCTCACGGACTGGGAGAAGGATCAGGTATTCTCTCATTATCGCAGGAAGAACAACATCACAGGGGGTGATGCCAGCATGGGCACTGATGCCGATGCCAAGCCAGGTGACGAGTCGTCGGCTCACCCTGGGGAGGAGGAAGCTGATGAGCCAGCGAACGACCCCACCGATGTGGTCAGGGACTCAGAGAATTCCGGGAAACAACAACTTTTGGATGCGTTGGGAAAACTCTTCACCGTCTCTGAGGATGTCAACGTGTGCTTGTATTGTGGTAGCACCCAACATGGCCATCTTGAATGTGAACATGAGAAGAGGGATGAAGTCAGAAAAGTGCTAAAGGCCGTCCGAGCGTCGCTCGAGGCTGATAGTCCAACATCTGATGACGTCGATATGGAGCCTCCTGAGCACAAGAAGGACGGTTCAGGTGCTACTGATGGGTCGGGGCAAACGGATGAACCTACAAAATCGAGGTTTGGTGAACACCAATGGTACGACAGCATCAGAACTATGTCTGAAGTTGGTGACCTCGATGAGTATGGCAGATTCTGCATAGAAGGACGTGATGTTACAAAGCTAGGACCACAGAACATTGTTGACCTCAACGAAGTGGTCAGAGACGCTATTGTCAGAGGAGGAGGTGACTCTTGGTCAGTGCCAGACTTTATGGCAAGCTACTCTGATAACAACATCAGGAAGCCCTTCTACAAGAGAGTCGAGGCGCCGCAAGATGGTTTCTTGAAAATCATCCCGACCACGGGGGCCCATTTCTTCAACTGCTCTTACTTTGGCGGTGTAGAATATGCGGCCAACTACCGATTCGAGACTGGCAACCGACTCAATACCTACGAGGACAAGGTGAGTACATCACTAAATAGGATCCTGCGGCACAACGTGGGGAAGGTATCAGAACAACAGAGTCTGTCATGTGATGACGCCGGCTGGGTGCCCATCGAGGAGGTGCTCAAATGTGAGTCCATCTGGAGGCACGAGTACGCACGCTGGCCACATGCATTCCTTGCTCCAAAAGGAAGAGCAAATGATCAGAGTGCATGGAATGTCGATGAGGCAAACTACCGCATGACGTTGCTCTTCAAGATCATGTTCCACTGTGCCCGGTATGGACGTCGTGTTCGTGAACAAGTCTTGGCATTTGGTATCAACAAGGACATCGAGCGCACCAGCCTGACGTGCATTGACAACAAAGTCGATGCGAACACGAACATTCCTGATGAAGGTCTACTGCTCTACCCTGTGGCGGTCCGTGCTCCTACGGGGCACAAGGAAGGATCTTCGAGGGACGACGTCTCATTGCTGTCCTCATTACTTTCACATCCAATCGCGCCCAACACCATTTTGTCGTTACCGGTTTGTTTCCACATCACCAAGAAGACCAACCTTCGAAGCATTTGGAGGCAGGGATTAATTCCAGGAGGTCTTGGAGAAGGTCATCGGATGTTCACGTTCTTCAACCCGTACGTGCCATGGGATCACAGATCATGGACTATCACGAAGAGCGTTGATACGCGAAAGGGGGACTACATTTGCTTGTTCATCCCGACCGAGACCTTGATGGTGGAATATGGCGGTCGACTGACTGACTCGGGACAGATCGTCTCACCAAAGATCATCCCGTTCTCGGCAATCAAAGGAGGATGGATTCAGGACCCAAAGGACCAAAACAATAAGACATGGCTCCGGTTGTTCGTCCCGTCGGGCGACGACCAGGTAGTCCGGTCTGGAACTGTCAAATCAAGAACGGTAGCCACCAAGGAGTCCATCTTGAGGGTTGCAAGTCAATGCATCGACGCCGAAGATCAACCGTTTGACGAAACCGCCATGGATGCCATGAACATCGTCAACCAATTCAAGAACGACCTCATCAAGCCTGGCGGACAAGAACAATACCTGGCCCGCATCAAGCTGATTGACTACATAGTCGAACGCAAAAGGGTGCAAACATCAGGTTGCCGCCATTGTCCTCACTGTCTCAATGAGATGCCGACAAAACTAGCAGTGTGTCTAGTTTGCTGGACGGAACTGGAAAGTTGTGGAATCCGTCCCTATCGGCTACAAGCTCCTGAAGACGATGAAGATGAGGCCACGAAGAAAGAGATCGATGAAGAGGTTCGACGACAAGAAGAATCGTTGTTCAAGGATACGGTCCATCAAGCACAAGAAAACGTATCCGAATCCAACGACTATGGCTTCAATCCCGACGAGGTCGATTACAACGAAGGCGATGATGAAGAAATGGATCAGGAGGAGGAAGCCCAACAGGAAGACGACGAAATCGTTGAAGAAGACGAAGATGAAATGGAAGTCGAACCTGAAGATGAATCCTCTTCCAAACTTCCAGCATGGACCAAGAACCTCGAGAGCGGCAGCAAGGGTATGCCAGAAGACGGACTTATCAACAATGACGTCTCCGAGGCCGCGGCTCACTTGTATGACAATGCTGTCATGTCAAAGGTCATCACAATGTTCAGGCTCTACTACAAACAGAGAGTCACTCTGACCCCAGAGGAGTACTATGAGATGATGACGGAAACCAAGCGAGTCCGGCTGGACCTGGACGACTTCTGTCCTTATACAGGAGAAGACCAGGATGGCAACCTCAAGCGACCGACGGAGCTGGAATTGGATGAACTCTTTCAGCAGAAAGGGAAGAGGAATTCATGGTCAGAAGGAGAGAAGTTATACTCAGGGCGACCAAGAAACATGATGATGCCTGTCATCAAGACTTTAGAGATCTATGAGAAGATGATGGAATTTCTGGTACGCGCTGGGTACACTCCTGAGTCATTAGGCTTTCTCATGCCAATGAACCGAATGCAGGCTGATGCCCAAGGGAAACAGGAGATGCGAGTAACCATCAGCAATTTCCTTCGACGACTGCTCAAAGGAACCTTTCCGGAGCACGAGTCATACACCTTCTTTCGCTCCGGGAGCCACGGCTTCCCCAACTGCATCGAACTCCCAGCTTTCTCGGTATATCTGAGCCTGAGGGAGAAAGAACAGAGAGTAGAACTGCTCTTTGCCGCCCAACAATGTGGCATTCCTTTACCTCAAAACTTTGTCAGCAAGATGGCTTATGCTATTCAGCTGGCCGAGGCCGAGGCGCAGAGGGGAAAGACCGAGATGAAAACGAAGATGGCTCCAACCCTTGGCGACGAAGTGGTGAGTGAAGTATTCAAAGCGGTTGGACATACTGCAGCTTCTAAGTTTGCTAAACCAACTGCGCAACCTTCACAGACACCTGAAGGCACTGGTTCAGCATCATCCTCATCGGCTAGTGCACCAAAGGGCAAGGCTATGCCGAAATCCCATGAACCATCAAAGGCACCGCCTGCAAAGCCTTCATCGCCGAAAGCTGCTCCGAAACGTGCGGCTGGATGGGAGAGAACTCCAACAGCACCTCAATGGAAGAAAGTCCGCCGTGAGCAGTAAACCAATTACTTCGATCCGTCAAAATGATCACTGGGCTACAAGATGTTTACCGTCTTTATGAACAGATGATCAGGAGAAGACCAACTGAGTGGACACTGAGCGAGGCATTAGACTAATTCGCTTAGGTTCAAGACTTTTGATATTCCCAATCTGCACGAGATTCTGCATTGTGCACGTGAATTCGTTAGTTAGCATTGTAAATCTTTGGTAGCGAGGCGATCCATTTCTCCCGACGGGTGAGTGGCATGCTTAGCCAACGTAGAAAAGTAGATGTTAGCTAGCAATAATTCGCGTTGTATAGCTTGAGGAAGCGCCGATGCATCGACAGCCAAAGAGTAGGTGAACCCTGAACCATTATACCCGACGGGTATGTGGGGAAGGGGGATCCGAATGGCACGTTTTATGTACATAGGCGTAATTCGAGCAGCAGAAGGACTTAATTCAAAGTTCCCACTCTCGTGCCTACGGTTCGAAGATGCCGTAGGCATGGGGGGTGCGAAAGGGAACTAGGTAATACAGCAACTGCACATGCTGAGCATGTAAACAATTATGCATGGACTGCCAATCACTTGGCTCAAGTCATGCGCGAGGAAAAAGACCGTTCTCCGAACGCCATGCAGTGACGTTGCCCTGCACTACCAGCACAACCGGTACTACAATCAAAAGGGATAATCCAGAACAAGGATCAATTGGTTCACAATTTATATTTACAATCGTTGTATATCTATTTTCATTATTACCAACCATTTCCATCTACATATCATTGGTACCAGCAGCAGTGCAAGCATTGAGTTTTTGGCAACGGATGCCGAAAATCCGAGGTCCGCCGAAGATTTGTCCAGCTACGATCTGCCGGCCATTATGCATGGCAAGTGCATCTTTACTGTGCCCCGGCACTGGATGGGTTGATTTCTTTTCTGTTGCTATTTAAACAAATAAACGTGAACGTGATAATTGATATTGGAGATAGCTATAGAATGTTATATAGATAATTATCCAGCTAAAACATCAATTGTGACCATTTTAGATTGGGGATGGAGTTTGTGTGTTGGCATTTGTACATGTATGTATGTATATATATGTAAATACATGGGCATGGTCTACAGTCCATAGTACACGCCTCGAAAATGATGGTGGAATACCAAATAGGCCGGCAATGTATCGTCAGAGTCGGAGAACAATCTTCAATGGGAGCAGTGAGAAGTTTGGATCCAACATAATTCAGATTTCGACTGAATACCCCCTGGTAATCTTGACAATGGAATATGTTTTTATTTGTAAAAAGGAACGCAAACCAATGATTTTCATAATTGCTATGTTCGGTTATGCCAGAGGGATCCAGAGGGTATATCGGTATATCGCCATTTGTTTCATGCTTAAGTCATCTTAAAATCTTACCCTCTGGTAATTTAACATAGCTATTAAAAATTGCCATTTATAGTGGATCTACCCGTTAAAAATGGTGATTTTCCATAGTTCTGTTAGTTTACCAGAGAGTAAATCATGATCATGTCCACAATTTGCCCATGGCAATAGCAGTTGTCAAACAGGGAATTTTCTGGACAATCCACCAGTTGTGGATGATTTTTCCAGCTAGAAACCTCCATTTTGTATATTTCGTTCGGGGAGTTGCTGGATTCTGGATATTTGAGCCTGGATGTTTGGGAACGCCTCAGGGTATCAACTGTATCAACAATAAACCATCCCCCAGTCATCACCATTTTTATAGTTGCTATGTTCACCATTCACAATCATGGCTGGTAAAAATGACATTGTTTTACCCACATAAAAAAAAAAAAACAATTTCTTAGATACTCCACTGGCGTATCCCCAATTTTTCCATTGGATTTTCATGGATCAGCACCCCATTTCAATGGCCATGCAACAGGAACCGATTGATTGGAGGTACCTACCATATATAAGGCCTATTTTTCAAGCCTATTTTTCCGGGAATATCCCCACAAAATATGGTCAGAAATATGGTACTGTTATATTCAATGGGAATTCCAGGATCCTAAAATGGAGGTACTGTACCATATTTTAGGCAATATTTCATGGGGATATTCCCTGAAAAATAGGCCTGAAAAATAGGCCAAAAATATATGGTAGGTACCTCCAATCAATCGGATCCTGAAGATCTCCCATTGATGATATATCTTCACCATTTTTCATGGGAAAACTCACTATCAATGGTGATTTTCCATCGTTTTTCCCGAAGATCTCCCGACCATTTCTTGGAAACATCCACCCCATGGGTCCACAAGGCCTTGGATGCGAAGGTTTCCCCTGGCCTCAGGGACAAGGCGGGTCAAATATGGGTAGAAAAAAAGGGGTATCATCACCTTAGAATTTATAACCATATAATATATACATATATATATATATACATATACATATATATATATATGATTATTTATGATTATTCATGATTATTTATGATTATAATCACAGAGAGAGAGAGAGAGAGGGATATATATATATAGAGATTCTCCGGTTATCAAACGTGACAATGGAAAATCCCTGATTGATATTTTCCCATACAAAACCTCTATTTCGTTCGGGGAAGTCCCAGCTTCCCATGACCAGTGGCTACATCTCAGGTGGGTGAGGCATTTGCAACAGCCTTGGGAGCAGAGTTGAGTTTGAAGATTCAGATCGTAGGAGTCCAGGCGAATGGGGACGAGATGGTCCGCTGGGAGTTGCACTTAAGCTAAACGCCCCCAACACTGGTGAAACTGGAGTAGCTGTTCACCAACGCTAATATTTCCTTAACGCCAGGCAAGATTTTGGTGCATGTTTTCTGAGAGGTAAAAGGATGCGTGGAGCTTTTAAGACATGTTGAGACGACCAATCCAGCAGTAAAATGCTACGTAAAACCATGGTTTTGGATGCTACGACGTTTCAAGTTCCATCTTAATTCTGGTTGGTGGTGACTGGAACATGAATTTTATTTTTCCATATATTGGGAATAGAACTGCAACCCCAACTGACGAACTCATATTTTTCAGAGTGGTAGGTCAACCAGCAACCGTTGTATTGTTTTTAAATTTAACAGTTTGCTATTGACAATAGCCATTTATAGTTTACTTCTTCTATGAAACATGGTGATTTTCCAAAATTTGAGGTAGCCTCTGGTAATTTCACAATGGCCCAGTCGAAAGTGCCTGGATTTTCCCACGAAAAATGGTGATTTTCCATAGTTATGTTAGTTTATCAGAGGGTAAACCTCCATTTTCCTATGGGTTTCCCTATGTTTTCCCATTTTCCCATGGGTTTTGTCGACTGCTCCAACGTGTTCATTTGCCGCTGGTCACAGGAGATTGCTCATCCCACCATGGGTCAAGGCCCGTGAGGAACGAGGAAGTTTCATGCAGGTCATGGCATAGCTGTATCGTATGTTCTTAGATGTTCTTATCAACAAATGCTTGTTAATTATATCATGGATATCAATAATGGTTGGGAATATGGAATTATATTATGGATCAATACCTATGAAAATACAATTTTTAATGGGATGAACATCTATAGAACTACCAGCTATTTTGATGTGAACAGAAGGGGTACTATTGGTTTTGACACACTGCCAGATGTTCTTATCAATGGATTGGTTTTCACGGGAACATTTTCACCGGAAAGCCCCATGATCTAAGATGGGGAAATCCGATTGGTTTCCGGTGAAAAAAAAATCCCTTAAACCAATCCATTGTTCTTAGGCTGAGGGGCATGGTGAATAACTGGTAGTTACTGCTAGTTTCTGGCTGTCGGACCGGAAACCGGTGATTCACCACATGAGATGATCTGTAGATAGCAACCAGAAACCTTATGAAACCTTGGGTCTACTGGATCTGTTCATTTTGAGGTCCATTTAGGCTGGGCTACCATCCCCCCAAGTAACATAGGCCCTGAGAATCATCATTGTTCGATAAAGTCGGTCTTCCATTCCACCCTGGCTCTGCTGAAGATGATTGGTAATTTGAACCATGTTTCATTCATAGTCCGCAAAAAAAGGAAATCTAAGCCAATGGACATGAATATTCAACACATATGGTGGTTTCTTGAAATTGTGGATCCCCAAGTCACCATAGGACCATAGGTCTTTAAAACTAAGTCATGCCCATCCATGACTTGGATATGGGGGTACCCCCATGACGACTAGGAAACCTCCATATCATCATCATGAATATCCCCATAACGTGATTGGTGTAATCACCATTTTTATTGGTTAAATCCCAATGATATCCCCATGAAACATCCACGCCTTAACAAACACGCGAGGCAAAGAGTTTGACTTGCTGTACACTTCAAAGACGCCCAGTGGGGAGGTGTCATATGGGGAGTTGTTGGACATGTAGCGGCGTTTTGGTTTAGTCAAGCTTATAATTATATAGACACACACACACATAATATATATAAATATATATATATATATCCATTTGTAATATACATATTATGCATGTTTTGCATGTTTTTCTGGTATTGCTTCAGAATGGAGGATACCCACCTGGTTTAGCATTTTGAATGGGGACAATCATGAAATTTCCCCAGGATCTTGGGGTTCCCAACGTTTTTTCAAGAAATCTGATGGATGTGTCTGTATGATTATGTTTACGGAGAAAGATATGGCTTATGCATCTTAAGATGGTTATGATTGCACACATGTATTTGCGTTTTTTTGTTCATGTAGTAGTTGTTTGTGTTACTTGTGCGGTGATAGGCCCTCACCAAGATGTAGACCGCTTTGTTGCTCCTTTGTTCTTTATCCTCGACCTGGGCCCAAAATTGTGGAAAGTGATTGGAATGTTTATGATCATGTTCACGATCACGACGATACAATTGTTGGTATATGACATCATCTCAGCTGATTCATTTGAGTGCTGGGGAAGAGAAACAACGCCAGTTGAACACTGGCGAGTTTCTGACAGGACTTGTGCTTGGGCATGTCTATTAAATATATACACATACAATCACGCACATACATATATATAGATACACACACACACATATATATATGTGATGTACGCCCTGATCTGATTTGCTTTGCCCTACCAACATACAGTGTCTAGGTGGATTTCCGAGGATTTTCCACACTTTCCACATCTTTCCACCTTCCAAAGTTGAAGGGCCTACTGTAGGCAGCCATCAGAAAGCTGCACGACCAGGCGATGTGGGGATGTGGCTGGTGCCAATGGATTGATGGGTGACACCTGGGTGATAAAACGATGCCAACATATGTCGACTAATGTCAACATTCTACTTACGTTTCAAATGGTTGCCCTATAGGGTTAAACACATGCCATGTTTTAAAAAATCTGTTTGGTTTCGGATGGTTTCGGCATATATTGGGTCCTGCAAATGGGGATGGGCGCTGGAAATTTGACCTGTGAGTCTTTGTGAGTCTTCCCAGCGTCCCAGGGTGCTAAACGTCTCTAGGTCGTTCTTGGGTTTATAAACCACCAAGAACCACCAAGAACCAAGGGCAAACCGGCAAAGCGTCTATTGTTGGGTCACCTTGATGGCTGAACATCAAGAAATTAACGCTTAACGCTGCTGAAAGTGACTATAGTGAGGTAATCCAGCATCCCAGGGGGAAGCTACTTACCATTTTTGGCCTTGGATGATGAAAGTACTTAGTGAGATCATCTAAATCATTTGGCCGTTTGGATTTGTTTAGATTTGTCTGGTGTTTTTGAGGGCACGAAAGGCTGCCTACCCCAAAACCCCAAAGGAAACCCTTGGATTGGGTAGATTGGGGGTGATGGGCATCGCAGAAGTGGCTATCTCACTGTAGTCGGCGCAAAAGAATTGGGACCATTTTCAGGGATTTGTTATGGCTAGGTCGGACGACTGGAGGGCAAAATTCTTTCTGTGGCTAAGCGGCTGAGATCTCTCATCCAACACGCAAGATTTTTTGGGGAACATGTTTGCCTGAACCGATTCAAAATGACTTCATTCATAGAACCATCAGGGAAGCGACAGACCCATCCAGCCTACTTTGGATGGGTAAACAAACCATAACTGCGGATAGAATCATATAATCTCTGGATATCCATGGTATATATCCGGGGAAACCATTGCACTGGTACATTGGTTTAGTACAACCGAACCTTTTTACGAATATAATGGGCATATTCCATGGGCCTATGGTCACCTAACCAGCTACTTCTTGCAGAAGATGCCGTCGCTTTCCGCAGGCCACACAAATTCAGGCCACGGTGCAGGAGGCTATCAGAAAGGCGAGTGGGGAGGTGTGGGAAACATATGCACCCACACCCACCCACACCCACACACACATCTGTGATCATCTATTGTGTATGTATACAGATGTAATATATAATATATACTGTATATACATATATAACAAGTAAAACAGGTGTGCGCATTCAGAAATTACCATGTGTTTATAGAATGTATTTACTTTGAGCTTTATTGATTGCACTTTCGCAGCGTCAGTTTGGGCATAAGGACATCACCATAGACGATCTTTTTGGTGGTTCCACATATGTTTTTTTTCTCCCTCAGGGGTTGAAACCACCAATGATGGTCAGTACTGAACATAGTAAATTCATCCCCTAGAATGATCTTGACTGTTCTCATTTCAAGCTTGTTTTCATCACTGCAATTTTAGATCTAGTCTTGTGGTGTAATTTTGTGTGTGAGACACTCATTCTCGTGGTTGTATGCATTGCTGCAAGTGGAGAACAAAAAGCACATCGTAGATTCCAAAGCCCTTCTCTGGGATTATCTAATTTTTCAGACGTATTATCTTCTCAGCATTGTTGCAGACACATCCATGTATATATATATATTATATATATATATATGTGTGTCACGTGTGTGTGTGTGTTTTTGTTTTTTTAAACAGTTGTTGGTTCCATCCAGATCTCTGATCAGTTTACATGTTGCTCTCCGCACAAGAGTTGGTATCAGATTATCAGGTAGAATCAGCCCTAAAAAACACGCTATCCTCAGGGAGAATTCTATAGTTGTAATGATCCACTGAGCGGTCCGAGTGAGGGCTAGGAGGTTCATCACTGGCGTTGTATGCAACTGTAGCTATTGTTGAACATTAATCATTAATAATTACACATTATATATATATATGTAATATGGTATGATATGATCTTGCTTGCTTTGATGCTAATTGTAGAGATTCCGCATGCACAAAAATGTAGCGTATATCATATCTGGGTGCCCGTGCTTTTGTATCTATCGATTTACCGATCTATCTATTTGTATGTTTGTCCATCTAACTACCTGCCTATCTCTCTTTGTATGTGTATATATATAAATATTATAGGTATAGAGAAACAACAACAACAACAACAACAACAACAACCACAACAACCACAACAACCACAACCACCACTGAAAAACATGTTTTGATAAATGTTCTGTTTGTGGAATTTTGATGATCACTTTCAAGTATATATCTGTTGGAGGTTATACCTTCAAAAGTTGATGTTCAATTAGGACACCTACCCACGCCTGTTGGCAGGTGACCACCGCAGGCACAGTGCAGGCCTGGCCAGGAGAAATACCACTGGTTGAAAACTAGGACTTCATGGGTTCAAAAGAAAGTTGGAGTTCATTTATCTGGGTAAATTTCACCAATATGGCCTTAATTCAGGTTAGTGAAATATTATAATATATTATAATTTACCCAGAGTTATTGGGGGGGGACTGAAAACCAACCAGATTCGCGCAGCAAGAAGTGTGATTATTGTGATTCAAGCAGCAAAAACGGCACAGAAGAATACACATTGGATTCATTGGATTGAATCAGCTGGCATGGGATTTTGCCGGGTATATCCCATTAAACTATATGGACTTCACTGGGTCAAAATGGGGTTGGAGCCGATTCAAGCTATCACTGTTGGGGCGACGACTCAACCAGGCTAGTTGATTGGACACTTCATAGAAACTCATGGGCTTCGGAGACATCAGAGAAAACTCCAAAAATATAACAGAGAACCACGCACAAATATAAGATGCACAAACACTATCATGTGTTTCAACCATTGCAGTAGAAATAACCGAATCAAAATGGCAGGAGTGTCCCCGCCTTCCCCAAGCCATGATTCACACCAATCTTGTGCCTGTTTCTGCCGCATCGGGTAGGCGTGGTGCAGTTCCACTCTGGACTTCTATGGGCCCAAGGTGAACCTGGTTGCCATCCCTACTCAGCCATTTGGGATCATTTGGGACGAAGCCCGTGATTTTTTCACCTTTTTTCCGGGGATGTTTTTCGGGGCATTGAAATGTTAGAGGAGCATTCATTCTCAAGTGTTTTTTTTCAATATCCGAAACTGGTGTGAAATAACTCCATGGTATAGTACCCATAGGATCCATGTATGGTATATATGCTAACATTTGGGGTATATTGATGGGATCCATGTTACCATATATAGCAGCACCATGGATCCTATGGGGTATACAACTTTGATCTATTTTTTCATAAGGAAACGATTCGATGCTCCAGTGGATTTAAAGGCAATATATCAGCGTGACGACCTCGTGGAGATGGCAGTCTCGGTTGGATTTTCAGAGGGTGAGTCCTGCAGGCGGCAAAACTTCCCAAGGGGAGCAAGATCAAGGAGATCTTCGGTGACTGAGCGCATGGCGATATGCTGTGATGGGAGACACTAGGGATATAATGAATACGTGATTGGATCCAAATAATTATGATTGGTGAATTCTGCAAGATCGAATATAATATATCAATATATCGAAATCAGTAGATTGAAATGGGGCTCGCAGGGGTGTCGCGCAAGCATTATATAATTACCGCCAATTTACCACAAGCAGATCACTGGTGCTCACACGCTGATAGTCTCTGAGGGTGGGGATTGGCGATTGTGGCCTCAGTTTATTTCGTGTTTTTCATTTTTTAAATCTCAGATTTCAATTTCAAGACTCATTTATCTCAGTTCAATGATCTTTTGCCCTTTCCAAAACCGTACATAGACATTCTGTGAATTACGGTCCATTATGTGTCTGTGAAATATAGACACGAAGTTGATTTTTTTTTTTAAAAAAAAACATGCAACATATTTCATAGCCTATATTTCAGTTAACTGAATAACATTATACTAAAAATAAAAGGTGCCGTGAAATATTCTTTAATGTGTACATATCTATTTCCGTAATATTATAGTTAAATTTCATGATTAAACAGAAATGACATGTCTCTTCATCTATTTATTATTATTAATAATAGTTTAGAATTTATTATATGTATATATATATATTTAACTAATGTGTATCCGTTTCTGGCCTATACATTTCATGGTTTCATCGAGGCCAACTGCCTCCAGGGCGTCAATGATAAGGCTGGCGTGTCCAGGTGGAATGAGATGTCGGGCTATTTATATTGATGATTAGTAAGGGGAAACTATGCACATGATATGATCATAGTTTTATATTAGTTTTATATCATGTGATATGATGTATAAAATGATATGTACATATATTACTACATATTACATATAGTATTATCATGGGAATTAGGTATATAATGATATTAGCAATGTCGCGTAAAACAATACCATTTGCACCATCCCCAATGACTCACCATAGATGGGAAATGAGCATTCCCAGTTATGGGTGGTAAAAATTGCATTGTTTTACCATGTTTTACCTCCATTAATGATGATTAACAAGGGGAAACCATCCCAAAATGCAGGTGAATCTGGATGTTTTTGGTGCTTTCTGGGAGGTGTCCTTTTTCAGGATGATCGGAATATTCCAGAGGAGTTGCATCCCCATTGCCTCGGCAGCTTCGGTCGTGATTCCAAGTGAACTGACCAAAAGTGGCTTCGCTATTACAAGAGAGTGTGTATCAGTGTCATATACCCAAGTCCCATGATATAATATATATATATATTATGTGATTAATAGATTATATATATATAAATATAATTCCCCCATGCTACACCCCAAATCCGAAGGGTACCTCGACCTGAATGCACCCATGGATGCCACATGATACCACGCCAAATCAGGTGGACGGCGTGGCCGGTGGTCAATTGCAGACGAGGAGCCGCCCTTTTCATTCAGGATGGGGTGGCTAAACGAAACGGCCACCCTAAGGATTCCGAGGGCTAAACGTAATCGTTGACTATGAGGGATACCCTCTGGTAAACTAACATGAAAATGGAAAATCACCATTTTCAATGGAAAAATCCACTATAAATGGCCATTTTCAATAGCTATGTTAAATTACCAGAGGGTAATCGTTATTCTCTATCTTCCTAATGGGAAATCCACTATGAGGGGGGAATCGAAAAAGGGAATCTGATGTAAATTTCTTGGGGGGGTTCTTGAAGCTTGACCATGATCATGAGTTTAGCTGCTGATAGGAGGGAACGGTTTTTTTTAGCTCCCTATTTTTCATGGGGAGCCAGCCAAGGAGTTGCGAATTGAGCTTCCCGGATGTAGGCCCATCATCCATCATCATCCCAGCATGGACAGAAAGGTGTACCTTTTGATGCTCTGACCCCAAAGACAATGGCAAATGGACAATGCCCCATTGATATCCGTTGACAGTCATCTGCAGATGATTTTCATGTACAAAATGGAAGTCTTTCCATGGCCACGGGAGTTAGGTAGAGCGCAGAGATAAGTGTTCAGCATTGTTCAGCCAGCATGGTACAGAGGCTATTGGGGGTTTGGTCATCAAGCCCCTCAGCAAAACAGCTGTAGAAGTCTGAAGTGCAGGCGATGAAGAATTGTTTTTCATTGGTCACATGGCCCAATGAAGAACTAAGCTAAACCAATCGTGGGCATCAAAAATCACCGGCCCTTGGCCCTGCAGCAGTTTGTAGAATTCTGAATTCGACCTGGAGCTGGGATAGGCGACGCATGGATGAAGGTTTGCCCCACAGAGACCGGAATTTTTCCAGTGAGGAGGGGAAATGCCTTCCCCCAAGGTTCTTACCATGTGTTTCGACGAAAATGACACATACATCACATAATCCATTGGATGCCAGATCTTTGATTTCTTATACCCGACAATTCCATGCCCATTCTCGGCAGCAGCGTTGGCTCTCCCAGCACCACTTGGCATGAAATGGCCAAGCGTCGGAGCCAAGCCAAGCCTTGGGTGGTTTCGAAATCCCATCAAAATCATGAGATCTGGCGACCAGCCGCCTTGATACCGTTTCTATTTTTTTTGGGGGGTTTTGGGGGGGGGGAGGTGCTAGAAGTTCTAGCATTAAACCAAAATTAAACCAACATCATAGCAACATCAAAATTGCATAAAATTCCATATGATTCTTTGGAATTCGATCAATCTTTGGAGATTTCAGGGGGGCCCTTTTGGGCCCTTTTCCTGTGAACAGGAGCCAGGCTCCCCACGAGTTGAACAGTTCTCCGATTCTTCCATCTCTAAGCTTAAGGATGGGTATGGATCAATACATATGAAAATACCATTTTTAATGGGATGAACATCCAGATTTATCCCAGCTATTTTTAGATGTGAACAAAAAGGGGTACTATTGGTTTTGACACATTGCCATATGGAAAATCATAATGAAAAGAACCATCAACAGCAACAAAAACATGTAACTTGATTTATTTTGGACGGCCAACGATTGGCAAAATGCTAAGGGCGAGTTTTTTTCAGACACCCAGCTCGGCTCGGGGCCCTGCAGGCTGTACAAAAATATGGAGCGTTGTTCGACAGAAAAGTGGTGGAGCATGGTGGAGCTGTTGGAGAGATACCCTCTGGTAAACATACAAAAAGCTATTGAACATGGCCATAGAAAATAGTGGATTTTCCCATGAAAAATGATAAAAATGGTGGATCTTTCCATAGTTTTATGTGGCTGTTTACCAGAGGGTATGGAGTTGACTCCAGCTGGTGGGCACATCATGTCAGCCATGCAACAGGAACCGATTGAGGACGGAGGTACCTACCATACTTTTTTCAGGCCCATATTTTTTTTCGGATCCTGACATTCCGATCATGGCTGTGGTTTTGTCATGAACCGAAATTCATGAAGCGTAGAGAAAGGGCCACACCTTTTGTGTTTCCATAGGGCCCAAAATGGGAATATTGGACATCACCTTATAGTAGCCATTATAGACCATATACCTAATGGTTGGGTGATGTTCAATGGGGACATTTAATGACCCATGAAATGGGAATTGTGAGGGCACCGTCCCCATGGTTTTTTCTCCTCAACTGGGCCTCAGCTTGGCACCGTCCTGCCTGCCGTTGGTGCTGTTGGTGCCGTGCCATGCAGGCAATGGGACGAATGGGTGACTGGTGGGCCCTTAGGGTGCAGCAATGCAGAGTTGACCCATTTTTGGAGGTTTTAGTTTGAAGCAACTATACATATGGGACTATAGACTATAGAGATATAGATTAATTAACAGTATCAATTAACTATATTAATTAACTATAGATATATTGTTTAAAACATGGGATTCAACCAGTCAACAAATGAGTTGATTTGGAACAGGGGGAGAAAAGTCAGAAAAGTCACCAAAATAGTCGGAGTTCACCGACTAGCTATAGCAGGATTTGACCACCAAAAGATGTGACAAAAGGCTGCTAGGGGACCAGTGTCAATCCATAAAATCCGTTCCAAATGGGTGAACAAATTAGCGTGGTAAAGTCCAAATGTCATCACATGTCATCAAATATCGCCAGAGAGTAGCATGAAGAAACATGTTTTTTTCATGGTTTTTCTCAGGGGTTGGTAAATGTCCTGTTTTAAGGGGATTTTGAACATCACTTTCAGCCGTATTTGTTCGAGATTATATCCCCATGGGTGATGTTCAATTATGTGCCAAAGTTCACATCCTAGGTAATTTATGGACATTGACCCCTGTATGCTATATATATACATACACACACACACATATATATATATATATACATATATATATACATATATATATACATATATATATATATACATATATATATAGGACATTTATGAACATTTCCCCCTGTTTCTATGTCCATAAATATGCCATCCCCAAGTGGCTAAGCCACAGGCTGCCATGGCCGCAGTGGCGACCAAGGCCCCGATTTTCGGTGACGGCTGGGGGATCCCCCCATTTCAGGAACCCAGAGAGTCTCGGTGTGAGAACTACCCTCTGGTTATGTCAAAATAGCTATTGAAAATGGCCCAGTCGAAATAGTGGATTTTCCCATTGAAAATGGTGGATCTTTCCATAGTTATAATTATGTTAAATTACCAGAAGGTAGCTGTAACTAGCTGACTTGGTGTCTCGCAGCCACTTGCCTCGCTCAGTCTGGGGCAGACCTGGTGTGAAGGCGATGGAGAGAGAGAGGGAGAGAGAGAGAGAGAAACCAATAGAGTCATTGACCATTATGTTGGGATAGTAGAAACCAATATATAGTAGAAAGATGTTCGTAGGATTTCCTATCTTTCTTGGGGATTGCCACTCCACGTTTTGAGATGAGAATCATTATCCACAGCCAGTCATCAGCGGCTATTTCAGCTCCGCTGCTTGGGAAATCAATCATCATTGTCCTAAGAAAACCATTGAACTTATATTTGATCTATTATGGATATGAGTTTTTTTGAAACTTCTAAATGATCTGTGTTTGTGAAAATTGCCGGCAAGTGGGCTAGATTCCTTGAGGCTATCTTATTCTATATTCTATCAAATACATACTCATAGTCCATGTTTGTTGTATGCCTGCTTGAAATGTTAATGTGAGTATCACCCATCATCTACTCAGGCGTTATTTTCCGGGCCCACTTGGAATGGTTCTCCCAACATGATGTATGTTTCTAATGGTTCGGAATATTCACACGATGATTGTTCTGCTTCCTTGCTTTCATGTCTTTTAGGAATTATTTTTCAATATCCATGACTTTGCTTATGATCTCCCAACCAATCTTGTTTTCTTTTAAATGCTTACCAGTATCAGATATCAGATGAGGTGCGCACAGTTTGACCAAATACTCCGGGTGTGAGCATAGCTATGCACACAAACGAGAACACCGAATCACCCATAATATCTGGGTAAATTATAACGACCTCACTGTGACCTCACTGGAAATCATGGTTAGTAAGGGAAATCATCCCAATATGGCCTTAATTAAATATTATAATTTACCAAGATAATATGACAGAATGGGAAGAATATGATCATAACGGTCACATTTATCATAATTATGACGCTAGTCAACACTATAATGGTAATACCGTAGTAATATCACTGGTTGATGGTTTGGAACATTTTTTGCCTTTCCACAATATATGGGATAATCCTTCCCATTGACTAATATTTTTCAAGATGGTTAAAACCACCAACCAGATGAATATGATCCAATATGGTGATAAATATAAAGTATCATAGCCATATAATATTTATCACCATATTAATATGGATCATGATATTTTTTTTGATATTTTCATGGTATTTTACGGTGTTGGATATGGTGATAGATCCGGTGCTATAAAAACTACACTCTGGTAATTTGTTACATAGCTATTGAAAATGGCCATAGAAATAGTGAGTTTTCCCATTAAAAATGGTGATTTTCCATAGTTATGTTAGTTTACCAGAGGGTATACCACTATGGTGACATCTTGGTCAGGTGCCGCCTAGCCGCGGCGGCACCACGGCATCCACGGCATCCACGGCATCCACGACGTGGTCCACGGCGTCCACGGCGTCCACGGCGTCGCCAAGCGCCTTGGGTTTTCGGTGGTTGAAATCGATAGTACCCGGCCTGGTAAACTAACAAAAAACTATGGAAAATCATCATGTTAAATGGGAAAATCCACTATTTCGACTGGGTCATTTTCAATAGCTATGTTAAATTACTAGAGGGTATATATCTATAGTTGATGAAAAAACTGTTAATTAATCTATATATCATATATATCTATAGTCTATAGTCCCATATGTATAGTATATTTCCCATTAATTCACTTTTCGATCTTTTAATCTCCATACCTATATAATATACATATATATATATACACATAAATCCCGATTTAGTATCATTTAGTCTGATAAGTTTTCCATTTAGAAATCAGCTTTTTCTTTTGGGTTCTTGGAACCTCAGAAGTTTCGATCATTTCTCCATTTCCAGAGCTGGAGGTTGATTTTCCATGATTTTCCATGATTTTCCCATTGAAATTCTCCCAGCTCTGCTCTTCCAACTGACTTCACGGCCAAGGCCGCCGCCAGGGCCCCCGCTGCGCCTTGGCCCTCGGCGCCGCGGTCGCACAGCGCTGTCAGCGGTGTCGCCGAAGCTCGAAACGGCCGCGGCGCGCGAAGAAACGACGGCAGTCGGCCTTTGATCCCATCGTGGAGTACAAACGCGTGCGCCTGGGATTTTTTCTGATTTTTTCAATGACGGATCCCATTTTGATGATCAAAAAAGATGTTACAACTAGCCATTGATACCCATTGGAGATGTGAATATATGATATATGGATATATATACATATATGATATATGGATATACATATATATATATATGATATGTGATATATGGATATATATGTGGAAGAGAGTTGCAAATCATCAAATCTGGGGAGGTTTTGTATCATTAGGTTTGAAGGTATAAGAAAGTGGTGAACATGGTAAGAATGATATGGGGACCCTTCCTCCTAAAAATGGCATGGTTCAATGTATGCGGGTTCATACACAAAACCGCGCCAATGAAGCATGATGCTGCCAGGTTGGTTTTGTCAATCCACCTTCTGGTGGGGCACATGTAAGGATGTAAACTATACACAGTGGCTCAGTCCGATAAATACAGTTGTTTACATTTACAATAGTAATACATCCTTACATGCTGTACCATACACTTATGCAAATCCTTGAAACTTTCTTCTGGAACACCAGCATTTTTAAAGGTAAATCATCTATACACAGCCATGTCTTCCAGTTCGATCCCGGGACGCAACCGCGGACGGGAAAAATACGTGGCGCTGAGGCAGGAAGACCCCTTAGGATCCTGGGGATTCCTCGATTCTCGGCCGAATTCCATGGTGAAAAAACCTGGTCCTCCAAAGGCAGCCAGACTCCAAAGCTTTGAAGAGCAGTATGATATATATATATATACATATACATACATAATATTGTTTCATATTATATATTGTGTATATATATATATAAATTTATATCATTTATAAATACTATGATATAATATGTATATGGAAACTCTAGACATTGAGTTGCAGAAGCTGTGCATACCGCGGGGGGGTTCCGAACATTGGTGTTTCACAATCCCTGGCAAGTCTGGTGTTTCATCAATCCGGGGTTGACATTGCTGGCTGCTGGCCCCCGTGTCACCCTCTGGATCCAACGAAAACATTGGATTCAACTGATTCAACTGATGGAAAATTGGCTGGAAGGGTCGTTTGTACCTTGCTGCTTTTGGTAATCTAAATGGTCATATATAAATAACAACCCTTATTGAATCACCAGTTTATCCAATCCCAAACCATTCAGTTGTAGTTAGTTACAGTTATGTTTACAATTTACAATATCCTGTATCCCATTTATATCCCTAAGTATAGACACCCTTATTTGGTTGGGGGTTGTCCATACCAGAGAAATGATTGGTTGAGATGACGGCTCGCATATCCTTGGGATTGGTTAAGCCACCGAGCAGTATTGAATTATAGCACCCCTATGAATAGTTATAAGTATAGTCATAAACCCCCATAAAATACAGTTTAATGTTTATCCCATCCCAAACCATCCAGTTTAGTTATAGTAGGTTATAATTACAGTTGTAGCTATAGTTATATATCAACCCAATCCATTCACTTCTTCAACGGAATTGAAAGTACTTATTGTAGATTATTTAGTTTCAATCTGTAAAGATAAGAGAAGTGGTTTCATTTATTTTCATCCAAAGGTTGGAAATTACGTCACGACCCGGCCTGATAGACAATTTGATTTGTTTGCACACCCGCAGCTGCCTAACGGGCACTTGTCCATGGAAGATTCGTTTTATTTTTTGGTTTAATCTTGTAGTTCACCTATAGTCAATAGTTGGTGGTTAGCGAATAGTTTTTTCCATCACATCCCATTATCATATCCCCTGTAAAGTCCATTTATATATCTTATCCCCTTATGTAAAGTTCTAGCTTTAAATCAACATCTGGTTGGTGGTTTGGAACATTTTATATTGTTCCATATGTTGGGAAGTTCATCATCCCAACTGACTTTGACTCCATCATTTTTTAGAGGGGTTGGTTGAAACCACCAACCAGGATTTAGCCTCCGGTGATATCTTGGGGATATATCAACCATTTTATGGGATATGTTCATGGGGATTTGATGGAATATACCCTCTGGTAATTTAACATAACTATGGAAAATCATGATCTAACCATGGTTTTCATCATTATTAACCATTGTTAATCCACTATAATCCACTATAATCAACATGATCAACCCTGGGCTCTGGGTAGTCTACCGACCCAGGAGGAGGACGACTTCGCCCAGCGCATCGTTTCCTTCGCGGCCGTTGCCTTCGTCCCATCGCTGCTGCTCTCTGTGGCGGTCTTCCCGCCCAGCAACGAGGCGTTGATTTTCGGCCGGCTGGTGGATCTATGGGGGCTTGCCGAAACAGCGCTGGGCGCTGGGCCACATCGTAAAACCACAATTTTTAATGGGAAAATCAACTAATTAATGGGAAACTATGGGTTTCTAGAAACCATCATTTTTTCTGGAAACTATGAGAAATCACCATTTTTAATGGGACAACCAACTAATTGACGATCGAAACACGAGGTATTTACTATTTGATCTATTTGGGACCTTTCCCTTGGAAGGTTGATGCCCTTGTCGTGAACCTGGAGTTTTCGAGATTGCTCATCTGGAATATATAGAAGCAACGGGCAATTCTAAGGAATTTCACATGGAATACTATATAATTATATACTGACAAGTTAGATGCGTCAAAATTACGAGTTCATGGGTTTGTCATGAGAAAAATCATGTACATTTGGGCCATTTGGGATGTAATAGGATATTCAAATTGGTCGTATTTGAATATATTTGAATGATATCAAGATATACACACACATAATATGATTATGTATGTACATTATTTTTTTTACTACTGGCACAAAGTGGCTCTCACCGCATGTACATTTATATATATATATATAATTAAGTGAGCAAATTTTTGGGAACATTATTGCATATTATATATATATGATATATATATATATATATGTGTGTGTGTGTGTGTCTCTATATGTCCATTCCGCCATGATTCCGATTAGTTACATGTGATTATAGGATGGATGACCACACCACCATCATTAATCCGGGATTTAGGGGTGCGCTCCGGCCATCAAACGTGGCAATGGGAAATCCGCTGTATATATATATATATATATATGAAGGTTTACAGCTGGGAATGGGAAAATCATCTATAAATGGAGGATTTCCTATTTCCACGTTTGATGACCGGAGGGTATTCAGAGAAATCCACGTCAGAGCCAGTTCTGATCCCTACTTTCCAACGAGCAGACCAAGACCGGTAACAACAAATGGCCAACAAAGTCAGGTTTGGGCATAATTATAGTAATCCCAAAATAGATGGAAAAGTAAATCACCATCAAATTAGTGATTTACTTTTCCATCTATTTGGGGATGACTATACGGACTATTACAGGCCGCTCAATCTGACTCATTGTCAAGGAGCAAAACGCTCCAACGACGAACAATTCAAACCATGACACAACCATATCACATGGTTGGTCATGTATCCCCACTATATCCCAGTATATTATATCCGCAAAAACCCTGAAAAATTGGTGTGGTAAACATCCCCATCTTCCGATCCCAATTTGTTTATCCACCATGAGTTTCCCATGATTTTTAAGCCTTGGTTCGCAGGATGGCATTTTCCTGCCCAACATGTTAGCAGCGTTCTCCTACGGTGTTGGCCTCACCATGGCTGTGACCTTCATCCTCTTGCTGCGCATTAGCAGCTTCGTGGACCCGTTGAACAAGAACCTCAAGGCCCCAGCATGCCCTGGGATGGCTGGTTTAGGGTACTCGGATGTGCATCCCACTTAATCAATGGATATAAATGCATTAATGGTTTTCTATCCATACATCAGACATATTTCATCCCATATATCCGGGATATTCCATGAATCTAATTGTTTTTTTCCGTCCATTTACGGTTCATGGGGCCACCCCCAAGTAGAGAATGGCTGGTACCATCCGAAACCAAACTCTGTCAAGGGTCCCACATGAAAATGGACTGGCTGGTGGTTCCAATTCCAGCTCTTTTCATCTCTAAAAGGTGGTGTTTCAATGTTTCTTTGCAGTTTATTTTCAGTGGTGTCTCGATGTTCTTGAAGTGAAACTTCAGCTTATTTTCAAGTGACCATCTCTCTTTTTTTATTTTCCAGATTTTTTCTCAGAAACCTTCCCTGCCACCAACCTCAGGCAACGTCCTATGTGGTGGAAGATAGCCGAAGTCAAAGAAGTTTGGCCGGGGATGGTGGCTACTACAGTTCCTCGGCCGAAGAGGGATTCTACACCCCCTGTTGAAATTTGTTGGGGTATCTGGTAAATTAACATAGACCCTGGCAGTTGTCGGGGTTGGAAGACTAGTTTCCATTATAACTTGGCTATTTTCAGGGTCCAACTGTTAATTTACCAGAGGGTATATTCCGTATTCCCCCATGCAATCATGATGATACTACATGCAAATATACAAATTGATAAAAGGGACAGTCTACATAAATATACATATACGTGTATGTATATGCCACATTAGCTATTCACCATAAATCCAATCATTCGCCTAGCCACACACACACATAATATATATATATACCATCGTTTGGGGGCCCCTCCCTGCAGGATAGTCGCTTCATCGAGGTTTGGTTGATGAAGCCACTTCCGGCAATGGCGTTCTGGACACTTTTGAAACGCGACTTTCCTCGGACATGTTCATATTGAAACTCTCAAAGATATTTACCCTCTGGTTTATAGATGGTTTACCTATTGTAAATGGTGGATCTTTCCATGGCTATGTTGAATAACCAGAGGGTAATACATAATAACACGTATCTTTTTTGCCATCAATCATCGATGAGCTTTCCGCTCCAGATACAAAAACTCGTTTCTGGAGCCAGCCATATCCAGCCATGGAGGCTACCCCGGGCCACCTTTTTACCTGCCACCCGTTACGCCGTTGCCTCAGTGGAGCGTCGCCAAAAGACCAGCGACGAGATTCAGCGCGACCAACTGCTGGGAGAATATCAGACGGGTCCGGCCATGAGTCGCCTGCGCGCCTTGGAGCTGAGGGTTGGGGTTTTCGGGTGAAAGGTTGGAGCCCCAAAAAAACAGATTGAAAGGTTGGAAAACTGGGAAATTTAATATGGAAAACAAGTATGATGGAATATCATCACTGGAAATACTTTTCTATGGTTGGGGTGGTAACTGGAAGTGTGAGGCTGAATTGTAGGTCCCATCTAGATCAAACCTGGACACCGGCAAACGGGGGATGTGTTGAGATTGACCTCAATCTGTTGTTTCCATCACGTTCTTTCACATAGCCTCTGGTTATGCCAAAATAGCTATTGAAAATGGCCATAGAAATAGTGGATTTACCCATTGAAAATGGTGGATCTTTCCATAGCGAACTGTTAGTTTACCGGAGGGTATAGTGCTGACCCTTCGTTTGAGAGTGTGTTGGGCAAGAACCTTAGTCTGACGTTGAACATCATTGAACTGGATTGTTTGCCTCTTACCCCAGTAAACTAACGTAGCTAATGATGGAAAACCGCCAGTTTGAATAGGTGAATCACCTATACGTGGGAAAACATGGTAAAAGGGGGAAACTGGGGAGTGAGGGTTCAAGGTTCAGGTGGGAGGCTGTTATGTTTTTGTTCAATGTTGTAAATCTAAATGTTTGAGTTTGACTGTTTCTTTTTGATTATCTTGCTAAATGTCTTGTTGAGGTTGTTGTGATAATGTTTGGATTGAATGAAGGGGATAATTGTTGAGGTGAGCAGAGTTTCTATGTGTAGGTTCAGGTTCAAATTCTACCAAGCTGTTGTTCAAAGATGTCGAATTATTTGCTTCAAATTCATGTATTGATTGAGGTTAGGCGCTGTGGTTCCTGTTTGGTTTTGCATGTCAAGCATCCTTCAATACCAAAGCCAGTTTGGCACAAATTGACTGAACCGATGTATTGTCCCTTTTCTTCGACATTCCGCAGATGCATCTTTGTGAGGCAGGTTGAGCTTGCGCCAGGCCGGTTCGTCCTGCAAAGCGGTCATGCACGAACACAGCCTGCAAGGGCTTTTCCGGCGCAGACCGTTAAAACTGGTTGGACTTTGTTGAGCACAGGGAGCATCGTAGTGCTGGTTCCCCAAGCTCTCATTCAAAGGTTCCTTCCTGGCTTCTTCATGAACAGGGCAGTGAGGAAGGCTGGGCAAAGGCTGAAAAGGAAAGAGCCCGCCCCTGCACGGCCGCTCGAGGAGGAATACATCAAGGACTTCATCAATTCACCTCAAGGTAAAACTTTGAGCACCCTTTCCTTCTTGGTGGTCAGTGGTTCCCAAGGCATTGGGAAATCAACCATGCTGAACAATCTCATGTGTGAGCATGTGAAGAATGGCAAAAGGGTGCTTCCTCTTGATATTTCTGTTCGTCCTGGTGAGGACTTGAAGCTGAACGAGGCGCTACCCCCAGCGTTACAAGCCGTAGATTTGCCCCGATATTACCCTTCAAATGTCAAATTTTTGCTGGAACGGGTGAATGAGACGTCCAAGCGCCGAACAGGCAGTGCCGTCGTGGTATACCTGCAACTCACAACCAAAAGCCGCGGAGACAAATTTAGCAGGGATGCCTGTGATGACATTGCTTCCACCCTCGGTGCCTTCGCTCGCAACGTCACCTACGACAATGCCGCGTGCAAGTTCATTTTGGAGGTCAGCGTGTCTGCAGTGGCAGACATCATCACAGAAAGGTTTAACATGTCAGATTTGGTGGTGGTGCGACCACTACCTTTCGAAGACTTCACGTCTGTGGTCAAGGAGGTGGCAAAGCAGGGAAACGACTTCCGGACGCTGAACAAGGTTCTTGCCGACGATGAGATAGAGGAGGTGTTGAAGCACTACTACATCCGCACAGGGGGCAACTTCCGCGCCTTGGGCGAGATACTGCGAAACGTCTCCAGAGAAGGTCAGAAAGGTGCGGATGCGGTCATCAAGCAGGTTGAGCAGTGGTACAAGGAGAGGGTGGAACCAATTGAAAAGAAATTGGATGACCAGGAAGTGAAGGACTATCTCCTCAAGGTGGCAGAGGCAGGACCCATGGGGTATCTCCCAGAGAGCGACGAGGAGACCGAGATGAAGTTGAAGCTTCTTCGTGAGGAGCCAGCAGACTGCGTCCTGAGGAGAACAACCAATTTAAGCGTGGCTTTGAAGCACTGGCATTTCGTCGCCAAGCTCTTTCAAGAGGATGAGCAGAAGCTACTGAGGGATGCAGGATACATGTGAGCTTCGCCGGTGAAAAAAACTGTGGCGCTTGAGATGTTTTGTGGGTGAGTCATCCAGAGTAATTTCACATATTGCCTGCATAACGGCAGATACCCAACCCCAGTATCAATGATACCCAGATACCAGTATCTAACTATCAACGATACCCAGAGCCTAGTATCAATTATACCCAGATACCAGTATCCAAGTATCAACGATACCCAGAGCCTAGTATCAATTTCACCCAGATACCAGTATCCAAGTATCAACGATACCCACAACCTATGATACCGTGATACCAGTATCCAAGTATCAACGATACCCAGAACCAAGTATCAATGATACCCTGATACCAGTATCCAAGTATCAACGATACCCAGAACCGAGTATCAATCATTCACCGAACAAGCAACAACAGACAAATCGTTTCACCCTGAACTTTTTTAGCCAAACCATCAGACACGGACAAATCGTTTCACCCTCAACTTTTATAGCCAAACCAATCAAACCATCAAACACGGACAAATCGTTTCACCCTGAACTTTTGAAAACAGAAAATCCTTACTTCAACAAGTGTCCTAAAACCATCGTTTTAGCGTTCAAAAAACATCAATTTAGGACACTTGTTAAAAACACAATTTTTAGAGCAACAGACCCAAAAACACTTAAAGAAATGACGCCTTATAGAATTAAGAATTGAATATGCCCTGCTATATGTATATTAACGGTATGAAGCAAGAAATGGACGAAGACCTTTTTGACCAAATGGCGGAAGCACTACACCAATCCAGCAACCCTCAAAATCCACCAACCACAACATCCACAAAATGGAAACCCGACGGAACTTACGACAAGAAACCATTAGACCCCAATTATTTTTCAAAGTATTATCAAAAGAAATTATCAACCCCTTTCACCTGTCCAGACTGCGGACGAACCATCACAAGCAAATCCAATCTATCAAAACACCGTCAAACCAACAGATGTATGAACAGCAGACGACACTGAAAAAAAACATTCTCATTAACAACGCTTTGTTAATCAGAATGTTTTATCTATTCATTGTCCATTCCTGTTTGTTTGACACAGTTGTTCTTTTGATGCCATAGAGCATAGTATTGAAAAATTTCACGCTTACAAAACGGACATTCAACCTTCAAAAGGCGTTGTTCTATTATTTATTTTCTCTTCATTCAAACTGCGTTTTTCTATTATTTCCTCTTTATGTTTGTGATAGTATGCTCTGGCACGTGCCTGGCCTCTTTCATAGTATTCTCTCGCTTTCTCTGGATTGTCCAGTTTCCACTCCTGTTGCTTCCTACCTGCAATCTGTCTATTGACACATTCTGTTGCTTTGATATGCCCCCCTTCTCTTTTGAACAATTCTTCCTTACTTTGACACGGGTAGTTCTCAATCAGTTCAATCTTACAATTCTCAATACCGAATTCATTGAATATATTGCAGTTGTCTTCTTTTTCATCCTCCCTTTGATGTATTCCTTATATTGTTTTCTATGTTTTTCCATTCTTTTACTCAAACTTTCACAAGTGCTCCCAATATAGCATTTGTTATATCCAACATCTGTAATTTTGTAAATCTTTCCCTTTTCATACCTATTCATACCTATATTTACAATAAGTTGCCATTTCTTTAAAACAATTTATCAAGTCAAACGACGGTGTCCTCACGTTGGACTTCAACCCAGAACCCAATGACCTAAAAACTGAACGAGAGCCCAAAAACTACTTAAAGAAATGATGTTTTATATTGTGGTAAAGAACTCAACCGTGATGGAGAATTTAACGCTATGATTGTTAATATAACTCTATTATCAATAGCAATGGACGAACTGAACGATACAAATAAACCTTGCTTAACACAAATGAGAGTGATTGAACACTGGTGGGATGGAATAGGAAAATGGAAAACATAAATGATTAATTCATAATATCTTAACAACATATATTATGAAACAATCTTTAAACAAATCCAAGCCTACAACCGCAACAACCTCAACCAAAACATCAGGTGAAAGTTTTTGACAAAATATCCCCAGAAACCCCATCGCAAAAAACATCAAAGGAAAGGAAAAAACATTGAACATCAACATAAAAACATAACAGGCAAAACACCCTCAACAAAACCTACCCTCATCCAAACCAAACATTATCATTATCACAACAACCTCAACGAAACATTTAGCAAAATTATCAAAAAAAGTCAAACAGAACCATTTAGATTTACAACATTGAACAAAAACATAACAGCCTCCCACCTGAACCTTGAACCCTCACTCCCCAGTTTCCCCCTTTTACCATTTTTTTGTGGGCCATTTCCCACAGTAGCTATGTTTGTTTACCAACCGGAGAAAGACAATTTTCCTTTGATCTTTGCCATCTTGGTTGACGGGCACTCAACCAGAACATCAAACATCCAACCAAAACGCCAAAACCAGATGGCCCCCAAGTTGTGTTTCTTGGTCTATAAGCGCGTTACCCATAGTTTTAGTTGAATGCAAACCCTAGGCCCTAGTCATAGTGGTTTCAAACCACCTTAGCTATCCTTGACCCATTGGGGGAAGCACCAAACGGCACCTTGTTCCGTAGCCCTAGTCATAGTGGTTTCAAACCACCTTAGCTATCCTTGACCCATTGCGGGAAGCACCAAACGGCACCTTGTCCCGTAGGGTCAAACCGAGGTAAATATCTCTTAGGCGCGGCGGCTGTTTCAGCCTTGGGCTGGATTGTAGGAAGCGTCTCAGGGGGAGAGATGCTTGGCTCTTGGGGGCGAAGTCGCCTAGCAGATGGGGGGAAGATTGGGGGAAGCATCGCTGATGCTGTAAGCTTTTGGATTTCCATGATTTATATTGATTGATGATCCAGAATCTGGATGAATCTGGCCGATGCGTTGCAAGGTTCAACCTATTTGGATTGCAGAATTGCGTGAAGTCAGTGCCAAATCAGAAGTGACTCCGTGCATCTCCGTGCCCAGGATGAGTTTACGGGAAGACGAGGAAGATGAACGCAAGTGTGGCACCTTGGTGGCAGCTGCGGCTGAAAACAGCATAGGTTTGAAATGTTCTGCTCATGCCCTAGTTCTATACTGGGTTTTGTTTAAGGTGATTTTTTATTTCCCCAATAGGAAATCCACCATTTGGGGAATCTATAGTGAATATTTTTTATTTTTTGAGGACCCCTTAAGCAAATCCAAGTATATGATTTATCTGAACCCAAGAAAAGACAAGGCACTGCCCAGCATCCAACAGCAATGCACAGATTCTTTTAAGAATCAACCAGGCACCTTGCTTGACTCCCAGTCGCAGCTGAGACATGAGGATTTGTTGATGAGAAAGATAGCGATTTGGGTGTCCCTCACTCTGTTGTAGGGCTTCACTCATTGCAGCAGTTGTGGCAGACAACTATATGCAGTTGTTGTTGGTTGTATTGTTTCTAATTAGAAGGTACTATCACTTCTGTCAATTTATATATTTTGGATATATCTATATATACATATATTTGGTCTATGTAGATCTATTTTGTTCAAATCTATGTGTTTTCAGGCTTTCTATATTTCTCACCGCCCCTGTGGCTGAGGAACCCGTTGCATTCCGGGTTTGATGACGGATGATACCAACATCGAGATGAATGGCTACAGACTCTTCCGCTGAGCGGCAGAAAGTGTCGCAGCGAACGCATCGTTGATCATGGTAGGCACATGTCCAAAATCTGTTCAGAACTCTAAATTGACCATGATCCTTAGATTGATCTATATTTTTTTAAATGTTTTCCCCTATTATTATATGCATGTAAGATAAGATGCAAGATGATATGAAAGATGACCTGTCAAAGCAGCACATATTTAAAAAAAATACTTTACTTCGTGTCATCCCCACCGTGACATTTTTACATTTTCTTACTGGCAAATCTTCTGGCATTCTATCTGACATATCTTCTGGCATTCTATCTGGCAAATCTTCTGGCATTCTATCTGGCATATCTTCTGGCATTCTATCTGACATATCTTCTGGCATTCTATCTGGCATATCTTCTGGCATATATTCTGACATATCTTCTGGCATTCTATCTGGCATATCTTCTGGTATATCTTCTGGCATATGTTCTGGCATATCTTCTGGCATTCTATCTGGCATATCTTCTGGCATATATTCTGGCATATTATCTGGCAAATCTTCTGGGATTCTATCTGGCATATGTTCTGGCATATCTTCTGGCATTCTATCTGGCATATCTTCTGGCATATTAGCTGGCAAATCTTCTGGGATTCTATCTGGCATATCTTGTGTCATTCTATCTGACATTTTATCTGGCATACCTTCTGGCATTCTATCTGGCATATCTCATAGCATTTTATCTGGCATATCTTCTGGCATTCTATCTGACATTCCATCTGGCATATCTTCTGGCATTCTATCTGGCATATCTCATGAGGTCCGGCAGGGAACACTTGGCGTGGATACTGGCGGTCCGGCAGGGAACACTTGGCGTGATGTGGATACTCGCGGTTGAGGTCCGGCAGGGAACACTGGACGGGGATGGTCGTGGTTGAGGTCCGGCAGGGAAGACTGGGCGTGGATGGTCGTGGTTGAGGTCCGGCAGGGAACACAGGGCGTGGATGGTCATGGTTGAGGTCCGGCAGGGCGCACTGACGTCGATGGTCGTGGTTGAGGTCCGGCAGAGAACACTGTGGATCGCGGGTCGCAGTTGAGCAGGAGGACGAGGAGGACAACGAGAGGAGGAGGACAACGAGAGGAGGAGGACAACGAGAGGAGGAGGAGAGGAGAGGAGGAGGAGGAGGAGGAGGACCAGGCAACTGACATAAAATCTAACAACCCTCACCTGGCAGGTGGGGAAAAAACAGAAAACGGAAAGCATGGCTTCGATCGGAGTCACGGGATGGCTTCGATATGCTTCGACAAGTCTCGCCATCGAAATGTCCAACGGCTCACGGCACCGCAATGAAGATGCGAAAAAGGTCATCTTTCTGGTTTGGTGGTGACTGGAACATTTTTTATTTTTCCATATATTGGGAATTTCATCATCCCAAGTGACGAACTCATATTTTTCAGACGGGTAGGTATACCACCAACCAGCTTTTCAAAAAGCATTGCCGTGATTGCCGGGGTTGGTGCTTCGGATTGGTGCTACCCCCTAGTGATAACCCAAACCGCCAAGGTTGAAACATGGGCAGCAAAAACTCATCCACCTTCAGATTCCACACTAAAATTGGGTGTCATGCGGACTTTCAAACTAACCATAGTTTGATCATGTTCACCAGAGGGCAGCATAAGGTAGGCAAACCAGCATGAGTTTCTGCGAGATAACTCGGTGATATTTCATACCCAGCTGAAAAGATTGAATCTTATATATATATATATAGTATATAATTATATAAATAAGTATAAATATATACTTACTTATATGGTATTCAGGGTAGCTAAGGCCAGCCAAAATCCTTTCATTTTATGGTTGGTAATGTTAATTTAAAATGTTAGTTAAAAAAAACTTGTGTTTACTCCGCATGACAATTCCCATTTGGGGTGGTTTGAAAATATAGTAGCACAAAATTTGATCGCTCATCACAATTTTCCCCATCAAAACGATTGAAACTTGCCTTTTGATGGTAATTATAGCCCATTTTCAGACACACGGTGTGTTTGTTTGCTTTCAGAGAGCTTTCAAGAGACACGCTGCTGATACGGTGGACTCTAGCCTTTATCTGGCGCTGTCTTCGGCCCAACCGTATCCTACGTCAAATTAAGATGATCAAATGAAGAACCTGACGCATCACTTGGCATCCCCACGATCGATTAAAAAGATGCCCAGCTTATGTGTCACACATTTTGACACTAATATGGGATTTAAACATATTTAAACATATTTAAACATATTTAAACATATTTAAACATATTTAAACATATTTAAACATATTTAAACATATTTAAACATATTTAAACTATAATGAAGTACTACACAAATATTGATATTTTACAGTGTATTTTCTGCATTCATTCTACATTCATATGGTAAAAAACCCTAAGATCTGATCCCAAGTAAAAGCTCATTGGTTCATGGCCCATGGCTCGATCAATCCATTGGTTTTTCTGGGGGCGTTTCGGCAATTTTCGGCAATGGCTGGTACCTGGAGGGTGCTCATTGAGGTGCCAATGGTCAACCATTTGGGGATGAACGTTACCACCAATGGAAACATTGGAGATGGTTTATCATCGGATTTACATGGAGACAAACCACGTAAAATAATCCATTGGTTATAATTATATATATATATATATTTATGTATTTTTTAATTGTTATGAATTGTTATATATCTATATACATATAGATCTAGATATATAGATATATGCATATATATATATAATTATATATATGCACATATTATCTTCCATTGTCTCCCCTCCTGCAAGCTTAGTACCACGACATCCCTCTAACATCACAATGTTCTGCCAGTCACTGCACGACTTGGGAAGTGCTTCTTATCGCGTGGCTCGGGCAGCAACTCATGGGTTGAAGCTGGGGCTACTTGGAGTCTTTAGCCTGACTCAGGGTACTCCATCGATTCAGCCATATGTTCATTGTTTGTTCCTCCCTATAAATAGGAAAGATGAACGCCACCAGGTCTGGCGTTGATTTGAAAAAATAGTTTACGTTCAACCTTTCCGGCGTTTCTGCTGTACATTATCTCATAGAATTCATTCATGAGAAATTGATGCCAGGGCATGGTTCAAGCAGAATTTTCCCGCATCGAGTCTCACCACCCAAGCTTCCAGTCGTAACCACAACCCACACACTGATTTTCGCTGCTAATTTCTCATGTTTTCCTTCAAAGGCAACTCGCTGATTTCTCGGAGAAATCCCCACCATATCGCAGCATCTCCCAGGGCATTTACCGTGGATTTTCCCTCCAGGTGGGTGACCACTTGAAGCTCATCGGCCATTCCCTCCAGGGTGGGGCCAGAGATCTCAGATGATCTCAGATGATCTCAGGATCCACGAAAGATGGGAAGGGCCGTGGTTCCATCTGCCGGGCAGTGGCACATATTGCGCATATTGTCCTGGTATTGTGGATTGCAGCCAGCCATTGAAAGTGTGCAGAAGTATCATGAAGTTTTTTTTCAAGTGACTACGCACAGGAAAGTCATGGTTAAGTTTGGTTTTTTGTGTGGGGTTTTGTGATGAAAAAAGTGACACCTTGCCATCTCAGTTCGGCCTTGGTTACCGCCTGGTTCCGAGCAGTGCCATGTCCGTGGTGTCCGTGGTGTCCGTGGTGTCCGAGGATGGCAACGATCCACGCCTACGGAACCTGGTGGTGGAGGCGCTGGGGGATGGTTGTCTTAGCAGTCTTAGCAAAGCAATAAGAAACTCCACCCATATTGTTGGTGGTTTATACCACCCATTTATTATATAGGATATTTATATATATATAGAGGATATATATATATATATACATATAGGATATAATGATATATATATAGGATATATGTATATATATATATATAGGGTAATTATAGCGTATACCACACTAGAAGATGGGTGGAACAAAGGATGAGTCCCACGTCGGTGAAACTACCAAGATGGCTAGGTGCCGGACTTGGAAGCTTCTTACTAGTTACCCCCTGGTAAACATACAGAAAACTATGGAAAATCACCATGTTTAATGATGGGAAAATCATGGAAAATCCACTATTTCGACTGGGTCATTTTCAATAGCTATGTAACAGTCATTACCAGAGGATACATGGATGAATAGATGGACAGATGCACCATGTCTCATATGAGGTGTTCCTTCTCTGAAATCGGATTTCCCGATTTGGGATTTCGCGGCGAGTTTGTTGTGCCGTTCTGAAGAAACGGTGCAGGTGAAGAGTGGTAACAAAACCATGTGGGCAGCCTCAGAGCACGGAGGATTCGGCTGGTTGGTGATTTTCAATGAGAAAATCAGCTGTGATGACCCCAGCATCTCCCAAGTCATATTTTGCAGGGAGTCAAGGCGCCACCAGTAAGCCAATACGCGTGTGGTTTATAAAGGTTGGCCCATAGGATCCCAATGGATCCCAGAGGCCTCCTTCAGGATCCCATTCGAACGGGATCCTTTGCAGACCTGCCGCTGCTGATTTTTCTTCCAGATTCTATCAAGCGGAAATACTGTAAAAAAAATAACAGGGGCCCACCTTCCATAGCACATTCCGGGCACATGAAAACTCTCGGCATGTGGGCAGATTCCGGGCTGGAGCACTGCTGGTTTCAACTACCTGGGAGGTTGATCATGGTTATATATGGTTATGTATCATGTGGTTAAAGCAATTATAAACCACCCCATGTTTTATGGTTTATACCACCCATAAAAATGGTGAATTTGGGGATGGTTTATTATTGTTTTAACAACATTAATTAATCATAAGTATAGTTGTACCTAATATACTGGGGATTATGAACTACCCATAACTACCCCATAGGATCGGGAAACCGTTTTCAACCAAGGCGGACTCCTCCCTTCAGCGCAGCGGTGGGGCAGGGCGATGTCATCACGTTGAACCAGGTGACATGCGTTTTTTTTGGGGATGAAGGGCTGGAACAACAATCAAAAACCATGAAAGAGATAGATAGATAGATAGATAGTTAGTTAGATAGATAGATAGATAGATACTTAGTTACATAGATAGATAGATAGATAGATAGATTCAGAAAGATAGTTAGTTAGATAGATAGATACAATCAGATAGGTAGATA